ATCCTACAGGGGAACTTTTGGGCACAACCAACAGGATATGTTGCATCAGAGTTGGAGGTCAAAGGCACAAGATTTTTAAAAATGCATTGGACTCCATAAATTTACTTCTGTGCCCCTGAAGGCTTCCCCACCTCTTGAAAAAGTTCCCTGAAATGGAGCCCCTTTCTCATAATTCATTTTCAGGAGGCATAGTCTCTGTACATTCAGTTTAGAGTTACATTTAGACCATGGAGACAGTACTTGAACATTCTTGGTAAAATAACACCTTCACATTGCAACCCTAAGCATGTTTATTCAGACATAAATTCAATTTATTTCAATGGGAATCACTACCTATTAAGTGTTGTTAGGATCACAGCTTTTGCATACCTCAGATGACATGTATCAACCAGCTCATTTCAGCACTCACCAAGCATGTTAGCTTGCTCAGTTTTTCGTTAGAAGCAGGAAGAGCCAGATGGAAGTTAAAATACTGTGCTTTCATGTTTTGAAATTAGTAATGTAGCATTTCACATTTGGTGATGTGACTAGAAAGCTCAGCTTTGGTTTAAATTGACAGTAGTACAGTATTCTTGTTTATAGGGTTTGCCAGGGTGGTGTCTGTAGGAATTTGAAAATTTGAAAGGGTATTTTCAAATACAAAGCCTTAGAAATAGTCCTGTTATAGTAAGGTCATTATTTTCACTGTAAGTTAAAGAAAAGCAAAAGAAAGGGAAAAAATGCAACTAGTGATTTGGGGCAGAAATCCTCTTTCTCCCTGTATATCAGATGGTGTATTAAATTCTCTCATTTCTAAAAATAGATTGGGTGACATACTGTTGAGGACACCTGCCACCCCAGATTTTCACCGATGCAATGGGACATCTCCTTCCTCTCCTCCCCTCTGCACCCCTTTGTGCACCCCCAAATCTGAGCAACTCTGGGAAGGCATATGAGGGCAAAGAAGACAGGGAAGTCCATTAATTAGTAACAGAATGGTTGGATACACTATCTGTCAGACTGAATAACTTTTTTGAGGCAATATATCTACTTGCATAGTCTCTATTCTTTGTGAAGAGAGTGGATTAAAAGCAGAAGTATGCATAATTGAAGCATGCTAAATTAGAACCCAATTGATTTAGGGCGTTGGAAAAATATCTTCAACTTTTTCTGGAAAATCCACATCACTGGGTAGGGCTCCAGTTTCTTGCTTGAGGAGTAGTATTTTTGGAAATGACAACATTAATTCTGAGCTTTAAGTTTCAGTATGACTGAGCGGTGGGGGCGGGGGAGGGTCGGCTTTGGAAGCATTTGCTGTGTTTTTTTGCAATGGTGTCAGATTTGTCTCTTTTATGTCTGTACTTGGTCGTGTTCAAAATAATCGTGAAAGCAGAATGATAGAATGGAGGGACTGAGGAGGTGCCATAGCTCATGGAAGAGCATATCCTTTGGACTCATATGATCCCACATTCAATCCCTGCCTGTTAAGACAGAAAAATATGAGAGGCTATTGAAAGTGCTTATGTAAAACAAATACTGTATAGCAGTGTCAGCTGTGGATGGTGGATGTAGATGGAGTCTCTAACCTCATGTTATTCTGAGGTGGGCATCAGTTGTCCTTGACTGAGCACCTGAATGGGAAACCAGATTGGTTTCTTTCTATCTCCCTGTGAGGAGCTGTGTCCATGGTCTCCTGGACTGCCCTGTAGTAATGCCAGTAGCCTTTAGGACTAGCAGTATCACCTGGGAAGGAGTGATGGGAGGAAGGAAGGAGTAAGCAGAGGAGGACTACACAGCAAAATGATTTGGAAGGCTGTACTGCAGTGGTTTCAGAATACAGTGGTATCTTGGTTTGTTTGACAACTAAGCCATTCAGGAACCAAGGTACCACTGTATTAAAATATAGTCCTGTGGTTTATGGGACTGGCTGTATGGCCACAGTTAGCAACTAGCTTTGCTGAGAAGATGGAATCCCCCAGGATGATCAAGGCAGCTGCCGGCAAGTCCTGTCCTCAGTGTGTTCCCATTTGCTACTGCCAAAGCTTTTGCTTCTTCCTCCTTCACTCCCCCCACACCCAGCCCAGCACCCGAAATTGGTCAGTCAGTTAGTCTCTCTCTCTCTCTCTCTCTCTCTCTCTCTCTCTGTCTGTGTGTGTGTGTGTGTGAGAGACAGCAGGGGTAGGAAGGAGCAGAAACCCTAGACATTTAGCAACATAGTTTATTGCTTCCAGATACTGTTACATGATCTTAGTATTTACCAACGCCTTTGTCTAGCAGTGGCCTCATGTAGATTTTTGCCTGCTTTTGTCCTTTATTAAGAAATACCCACAGCATACACGCAAGATGGAGGGGTGTGTTTGTGCCCCTCCTTACCATGATTCTCCTCATGCATACAGCATGAGCTCCTTTCTCTTCCCCCTACAAGGACAGGAAACCTCCTAGGCACCTGGCTTACTGCAGTGTATACAGATGCGAAACTTCTGCTTAAGAATGCAAAGTATTTCCCCCCATATATACTACTAAGAGTGTGGTGGTGCCAAAAATTAGAAAGATGTTCTGAATGCTTCCTCTTTGCTGCTTGAAATGGCTGGTTCTTGAGATGGGAGGAAGAGGTCAGATGACAGGGCTGGGCCAGTTGAGCTATAGCAACTACTGTTCTCTGTGTTGTGTTGCAGTGCAGGAATTTTGGTGCTGGGTTATAGACAGAAAAGGGATGCTGCTTGTATATTGCCCACACCAGTGCCCAGCAACCTTCCTAAGTGAGCCTGTTCAGGTGATGTTGTAGTCCTGAGGGATAGCTTGGTTGGTAGAGCGTGAGTCTCTTAATCTCAGGGCTGTGGGTTTGAGCACTACACTGAGTGAAAGATTCCTGCACTGCAAGGTATTGGACCAGATTATCCTTGTGATCCCTTCCAATTCTATGAATCCAAGAAATGGAGGTTGTTGGGGATTTGAGACACCTACACCAGGGGACTAGCTCAGTTTTGTATGGGCACCATGAGGAGAATGGGGCTGCCTAAGTCTGTTTTCAGCCCAACACATAGTGTAAGGCATGGGTAAGCAAACTAAGGCCCGGGGGCCGGATCTGGCCCAATCGCCTTCTCAGTCCGGCCCGTGGACGGTCAGGGAATCAGTATGTTTTTACATGAGTAGAATGTGTGCTTTTATTTAAAGTGCATCTCTGGGTTATTTATGGGGCATAGGAATTTGTTCATTCCCCCCCCCCCCCCCATATAGTCCGGCCCTCCACAAGCTATAAGGGACAGTGGACCGGCCCCCGCTAAAAAAGTTTGCTGACCCCTGGTGTAAGGGGACACCCTCAATTTGATTTTTGCACTGAACTGATGATAGCAAGCCACTTTCAGCTTTGACTGTCCACCTGTCAAAGCTTGACCACAGGGATTTGGGGAACTGAGGATCTGCCCCACCAGTCTAGTTCTCCACCCCCTGGTGTATGTGCTCTTGCCAGCTTGCTGTCTTTCTCTTTTGTTTATTGATAGATTGTATGAGTCTATTGGGTTTCATTAGTATTGTATCCTGCTTTGGGATTATTTTATAATGAAAAGTAGGCAACAAATTGAATAAATAAATAGTAAATTAACAAAGTAACTGCTCTGAAGAAGATAATGTATGTGTGCCTGCCATGAGGGAACAGAGTCATTAGGTGCCCCAATTTAATAATCCACATAATAAATCAGTATGAATTCACTTTCATTCATATTTCTCTTGTCAGTAGGCAGAATGCAGATACCCAGAACAAGGGCTCCAAAATGTTCCTTAGCTGCTGAAAACAGAGGACTGCTTTATGTTTTTTCCCTAAGTTGCCAAATGATTTTGAAATATTTATTTATTCAAACAATGGATTGAATAGATTCTAATGATTAAGATATGTGGTACTACATTTCTGTAATATAAACAGGCTGTGCAGTTATCCTGCATATTTTAATCTTGTGTACGCTAGTAGCAGCTACATATTTTTGGGCATTGATGCAGGAGCTTGTCAAACCAAAATGGTTTAAAATGTAATTATAGAATAGGGCGCAGATTGAAATGAAATGAAGAATGTTTTAAATTTCATCTTTTTATTAACATAAAAAACTAGCTTGAGATAAAAGAGCTTTGGTATAAGATAGGGTTCCCTTTTTTGTTTTGTTTTCTGTTTTGTGATAATGTGCAGACAGAGCCAGATCAGGCATGCACTTTTATCCTGTATTCTGTTTGCAACAGTTGGCAGTGCCTGGGAGTTTGAGGAACTGCTAGATTTCTATATAGAATCTTAGCTTTCAGCAATAACAAACAGTTCAGCTATACCCCTGCATATTAAATTGCAAGTGCTTTACATGTTGGTTTCCATGGGTCTTATTTCTGTTAGTGCTTTTGATAGGAGAGATACCTATTTCCCTACAAAGAAAGCATGGTAAGTTTTAAAGCGTAGTACAGTGGTACCTTGGTTCTCGAGTGTAATCTGTTTTGGAAGACCATTAGACTTCTGAAATGTTTGACAACTGAGGCCTAAAAGACTGGCTGCAAGTTCAGTGGAGAAAATTGAAAAACACACAGCAGAAGCCGTTTGATTTCCGAGGCACATTTGAAAACGGAAGCATTTACTTCTGGGTTTTCAGCGTTTGAAAACCGAAACGTTCAGCTTCCAAGATGCTCAAAAAATGAGGTACCACTGTATTCTGTTGTATGAAAATCTGCTTTCTTATTAAGCTTCTGCCTATTCATTTTTTGCAGACTTATCCAATATCTATTGTATCAACAACAATGGTCTCTCTTCTGAAGAGGCACTGAAAGTTTAAGAAAGAGCAATGCTAGTGTTTCGGTTTCTTTTAAAATCTGAAGTATTTGAGGAACTGTCCAATCAGATTAAAGCTAATTTAGGTTCCATTGATTTTTAAAATCTGTTTTATTTTCTAGATAACTAAGATTCAAAATAAGGAACTTTAAAATAAGTTGGCAAACTTGCATATCAGTTAGTTGCAAAGGTTTTAATACTCTCTTGATTTTCTTCCCTGCAGGCGGAACTCACTGGCATCAAGTGGCGTAGGTATAACTTTGAAGGCCATGGAGATTGTGGCCCCATTATCTCGGCCCCTGCTCAAGATGACCCCATCCTTCTGAGTTTCATCCGCTGTCTGCAGGCCAATCTGCTTTGTGTCTGGCGCCGTGATGTCAAACCTGATTGTAAGGAGTTATGGATATTCTGGTGGGGAGATGAACCAAACTTAGTAGACGTGATACATCGTGAGCTACACAGTAAGTATTCTCCCCCTTCTCCATCTTGCTCTAATTCTACAGTGAACGTTTCTTTTCTGTGTGGTCTTCAGTGCTTGTGTACAGAAAAATTTATTAAAAGCTGTGAATGCAATATATGAATGAAACCCCAGACCAGAAATAAATTGGATGTAAGGATACTGGTAATGTTGGTGATTTTTGAGTACAAGTGTAAACGCATGTATTGAACTAAAATAGGCAGATGAAGAGCATAGAGACCTAATGGTCATATTATTCAAGAATGTAGAGACTTTACTTTTTGCGTTGTCTTTTTAACCTAATGGGGCAGTACAGAGACTTTATCCCAACTATATTTTCTGTTGGAACACCACCATCTCCTCTAGAGGAGCAGATTGAAACCCTCTTCCACAAGGGGGCAATAGAAGTAGTGTACAGGGCCCAAAGACATCATGGATTCTGTTCAAAGGATTTCACCATCTCCAAGAAAGATGGAGGCCTCCAGCCTGTATTAGATCTTGCGATGCATTTATAAGATGCAAGGAAGATGTCTAGCGTCCTTCCACTTCATCACATTGGAGCACAGTTTGCCTCAGTATGGATAAAGGACATCTATTTCCACATCTCCACTAGCCAGAGCACCACCAGTTCCTCCGCTTCACCTTGGGGGATGTACTTTTCAATTTAGAATTATTCTATTTAGCTTGCACCTTGAGCTCTTGGAACAAGGATGGTGGCACCTTAATTATGGAATGCCCTCCCTGATGAGAGTCAACCTGGCACTTACCTGGTGCCACACAGGTCTTTATGTATTTCATAAAATAAAATAAAATCTCTCTGAGGCTTTTTTTTTTTTTTTTTGCTCTTGGAACATGTTGATTTTTCTGGGTTTTAAATGCTGTTTCACTGTGCTGGTTTTTAGGTCAGAAATTAATTGTTTTTTTATGGTTTAATTTGCATATTGTATGCTGCGTGTGAACCTCCCAGAGGACTTTGTTCATTGGGTTGCCAACAAATGTTCTAAATAAAAAAATTGGGAGCAAAAATCCTGCATGTAGCACTGGTAGGCAAAAAAACCCTGTTACTGTAGCACAGGAAAGCAGGGTATGGTTGGCCTTATTGCCGAGGCAAGGTCAAGGATGTGTTCTGGGGGTCAGTGGCTGTGAACAGATGTGAGAGAGTGAAGGTAGGTGTTTTTTTTTAAAAAAATAAAAATTATGTCGAAACCAAATTGCAACTTCTTTTGCGGGGATAATAACATACCATGAAAATTCAGTGCAGCACTAATCTATAGGCAGTTATCAATATTCATTGGGCTGTTTTCATTCTCTAATTTATCCCAATAGGAACAATGACAATTATAATGTTAAATTTCACATAGCTAGGTAGAAAAACAGTGCATGCTTTCAAGCATCCTGGACCAGAATTTTGGATACTGCTGGCGATTGAGGCAGTTTGTGGACAGGGAAGCTACTACACCAATTTGTAGACAAAAAACCATTGTAAATACTGCTTACCCCCAGCTGTGCAGAAATAGAGATTAGTTAACACATCAACTAATGCTTTGATAGGGACTCGGGTGGTGCTGTGGGTTAAACCACAGAGCCTAGGACTTGCTGATCAGAAGGTCAGCGGTTCAAATCCCCGCAACGGGGTGAGCTCCCGTAGCTTGGTCCCTGCTCCTGCCAACCTAGCAGTTCGAAAGCACCTCAAAGTGCAAGTAGATAAATAGGTGGGAAGGTAAACGGCATTTCCGTGCGCTGCTCTGGTTCGCCAGAAGCGGCTTAGTCATGCTGGCCACATGACCCGGAAGCTGTACACCGGCTCCCTTGGCCAATAAAGCGAGATGAGTGCCGCAACCCCAGAGTCGGTCACGACTGGACCTAATGGTCAAGGGTCCCTTTACCTTTAATGTTTTGATAATATGTGGGGTGGAGGTAAAAACAAATCTAGTGTCATGGTATATAATAATGAATGTGAAGATAAATAAGAAATTTCTGTTGCTTTTGAAGCAGGCTATGAAGATGCCTATTTGGCGTTGTCATGCCATTCCCAGGCAAACGCTGACTAAAACCAATGGGGCAGTAGGAGGAATTAAATAAAATTTGTCTGGTCTTAGAGAGTGCTGTGGAAATGCAGTGCCTAGTGGCCAGGTGGAGGAACTTAATCTGCTTAAAAACAACAACTTCTGTACATCATCTTTTTTCTGTTTTCTATGACAATTTGCTGGCTTGGCTATTTTTGGTTCACACGTTTAGACTCTTTGTTCCTTCTCTGCATGCTGCTTACATATGAACAGAAAGGGTTCAACTAGCTAGTCTCATAAGCTAAAAGCTTGCCTTGCTATTAATGCTCAGCTCTGAGCTCCACAAAACTGAAATAAAGAAGGTGGTCACCTAAGGATGCATCCCCCTTTAGCTGTATTACCCCGTTTTTATTGAACTCCCTTCTCAGTGAAATTTTCCTGGTTTCCCTTTTATTTTATTTTTGGTGCCCGGTAAAAATGTTTATTTGTCAGGCTTTCTAATGTGTACGCGCATACCTTATACTGAATTCTCTTAAAAAACAAAACAAAAAACTTGGTTATAATCTGTTTGTTGCTTTTTTTGTTTTATTTATTATTGTTACAGTTTTATATTGCTAGTATCGTTCATTGGTAACCCATTTGGGGAGTCTTTGCCAGTCGAACCGCTTTCAGCAAAATGCGGTATATAAATAAACTCTGGTTAAAGAGTGGAATGGAGGAAAAAAATATCCAAGACAGCTAAATAAATAAATAAATAAATAGGCTGTTTAACTTGTAAGCTGCATAGTCGGAACATCCTAAAGGCAGTGACTGTCGTCCTTTGATTAAAATATGCATGGCACTCCACAATGCCTAATTGGTTGCTGTGTGCTGTATTGTCTTTGGGCTGCGGTCATGGAAGTTTAGCAAGGTGGTGGGTTTTTCTCCCCCCCCCCCTCCTTAACCCTGCTTTGTAACATGTCAGCGCTGTCGTTCTTGGGTCTTTACAAAATGTGTACCTCCACGAATACCAGATTGTTTACTTGGCAAGGAACCTGAGAAATCTCAGAGCAGGGATGATTTCTGCGTGCCTCTTGGCCTATTTTATGCAGGTAGCAATGCGTTCATGTATAATTAAAGCGATGGCTCAGAAGTGCTGCATCAAGCAATTCCATGGCTCTTAATTTTTTATGAGGCACCTGTTCGGAGTGGAGGCATTGGTGACATTCCTACTTACCCAGATAAGCTTCAATAATATGTTTTCTCTTTATGAAACAAGTTTTATTTATTTTTCAAGTGCAGTTTGGGGCTTAAGTGTGTTTGGTGATCATCTTGTTGGAAGGAAATCTCCACCTCCTGTTTCCTTTGCTGCCGTAAAAAAAGATGTCTCTGGCTTATGTGCAATGCTTTAAGTAACTGAATTACAATATTTGCTAGTTCTGGAGTTAAATGTAAATTGGAAAACATGTAACATCTGGGGAGTTGACTCCGTCGCTGTGTGCATGTATGATCTTTTGTATTTCCACACTCCGTCTCAAAAGAAAGAATCTTAGCACCTGCCGTTGTTTCAGGTTTACCTAAATACAAGAATAACCTTGAAGTTAAGCATCCAGTAAAAGAAAAAGGGGAAACACCAAAAGTGGCAATGTCTAGGATAATTTTGTTGAAAGAGGAGAATGTAGGCTTGAATTAGAATCATAGAATCATAGAGTTGGAAGAGACCACAAGGGCCATCGAGTCCAACCCCCTGCCAAGCAGGAAACACCATCAGAGCACTCCTTTTTGGAAGTGCACTCCTTTTTGAAAGGAACCTTGTGTATTGTCAGGTTGTGCTGCTGAGGAAGAAAATCTCTGGTATGGGAATTGACTGCACTCTGGTTTAGCACCTCTTAGCTTTTTGCCTTGGCCTTTGGGATTAGGAGGAAAGCCCTATAGGGGACACTAGTCTGAATGCAATTTTGCCATGCATTGCCATAGACATTGGCACTTCTTTGACTTCTTGCTGGAGTGGAAAAGCCCTAAATTGATTGGGATCAGAATTGGTACATTGGTACATTTGAAATTCTATCTAGTAAGCACTGCTATTTTTTACCATGTTAATTTTACATGCTGTATAAATACCTTCAGCTTGTCAAAAACCCCAAAGCATCTGAGCTGAAATAATTGATTAGGGGGAAATTATTAAAGTATCCTTACTCTTAATGAAGTGTTATATTAAAACAATGTCAAAGTGTTGCTTTGGAAATCCTTATTGTTGGACTTCTTGTAAATATAAGCCATTAAAACTCAAATGGCATATACTTCTTTACATTGTTTAAAGTTTAAGAAAAACAACAACAGAAAACTTATATTAACTTTCAACTCCTCTAAAGGACCATGCATTTATACTGGTCAGGTTGATAAGCCATAGTAGAAATTTGCTATGAACCGACACCATTCTGCTCAGTTGTGCCTTCTTTCCTCCTCATTGTCCTGGGTTAGAAACAATTATGGAGCAGCTGGCTAACAATTATGTATGAACCAGTGCTCATGGTTTGCGTTTCTCCAAACAAACCACAAGCAAAAGCCAGGATTTGTTCTTGGCTTAATATTTGTAAGAAGCACACCACAAGTGCTGGTTCACATGCGATGGTAAGACAGCCATTACATGGTTTGTTTTCTGGTTTGGAAAAGGGAGAAGTGAAGCAGGCACAATGTTTGCGGTAAAGCATGGTTTGTTTCTGATCTTGGGTTACCACTATGTGTGAACGATTATTATTATTATTAAAATTAAAATTTGTATACCACCCTTCATTTGAAGATCCCAGGGCGGTTCATAACACAAAAATACAAAATGAGAATACAGAGTGCATAATAAAACAAAAACTATGTCATTTATTATATATGTTATGTATGTACTGTACACATGTTACAGTTATAAACTGGAAATCTTATTGAAGGGTGGGGCGTAACTCCCTCAAATATTTAAATATTGGTGATATAAGGCCTCCAGTGTGCTTAAAGGAAGACCCCTGCCTCC